CGTCTACGCGTGGTCGGACAGTGAGATAGTACTTTGTTGGCTCAGAGATGCACCTCACAATCTTGAGGTCTTTGTGGCAACCGCGTGTCTCAAATCCAGATTTCTGAGACTTCTCTAAACTGGAGACATGTCCCAGGGGAGTTGAAACCCGCAGACCGCGCTTCTCGCGGCTTTGAGGCCCCCTCGTTTGTTAACCACCCACTGTGTTGGTCCCGGTTGATTATCTGAGTCTCAGTCATTCTGGCCCCAGGGTAATTACTCCGAACCGATTGAATTGCCTGGCCTACGAGCCCGAGTAGGAGTGGGCAAGGATAAGGCCACTCGCGATTTGTCCGCAATTCTAGAGACCCGTTCAACTGAATCTCTGATTCCGTTTTCTCCCCTAGCGAGCGTCGTGAAGCTTTGATGCATTGGACCCGTATTGTCCAAGCGGAGCATTTTGAGCCCGTGATTGATAACTTGAAGCGTGGCTCCGTTGTCAAGGGAGCTCTGGCCCGTCTGAACCTCTTTCTGGACAACGCTGTGATGCTGCGCGTTGGTGGACGTTTGATAAATTCCCAACTGCCGTACGGGTCTCGACACCCGTTACTGCTCCCCAAGGACGGCGTCTTTGTCCGGTTGCTGGTAACCCACCATCATAATAAGAACGCCCACGCTGGGTGTAACGCTCTTTTGGCTATTCTGCAGCGGGAGTGTTGGATTTTGGCTGGCCGACGCACCATTCGGAGCGTCATCTTTAAGTGCATATCTTGTTATAAACTGAAGGCCACCATATCGCAGTCTATGATGGGTGACTTGCCAGCCGACCGCGTCAGGGCCATCCGACCATTCGCTGGAGTCGGAACCGACTTTGCTGACCCCTTCCTCGTCAAGTCCTCTAACCTTCGTAACTCGCGTTCACATAAGGCCTATCTTTGCGTCTTCGTGTGCCTCTCCACTAAGGCCATTCACTTAAAACTTGGAAGTGCCCTCAGCATGGAAGCCTTCTTGGCCACGCTGGGCCGTTTTGTATCGCGGCGCGGTTTGCCGGACCTGATCAGGTCTGATTGCGGAACGAATTGTAAGGGCAGGGATAAATATTTGAAAGAGTTCGTCGAATTTCTGTCCAGCCACCGGACTTATTTAGGTAATGCGATGTCAAAAGGGGGCATCCAGTGGAAATTCGACCCTTCGGCTTGTTCCCACTGTGGCGGTATTTTTGAGGTGGTGGTTAAGGTTGCAAAAACGCAGCTCCGTCGCGTTATTGGCAAAACGATTTTGACAAGTAACGAGCTCGCCACTGTATTCTGTAAAATTGAGGCGGTACTCAACTCTCGGCCCCTCTGTCCCCTCTCGTTCGATCCGAATGATTTGGAGGTTCTAACCCCGGGACACTTCCTGATTGGTCAGCCGCTTTACGCTCTGCCCGAGTACCCCTTCAGGGAAACGAACTCTTCGCGGTTGAGCAGGTTTGACCTGCTGCAACAGATGACTCAGAGTTTTTGACACCGATGGCCTCTGGAGTACCTACATCTTTTGCAGCAGCGCATTAAGTGGTCTGACAAGACGGATTGTCCTCGGGTTGGAGACCTCGTGTTCGTTAAAGAACCCAACGCTCTGCCTTTGTATTGGCGCCGTGGGCGCATTGTTAAGTTGTCGAATGGATCGGTTGGGGTGTCTAGGGTGGCCGAGGTTTTGGTCGGAAATTCGGTCTTGCAACGTGCCGTCACGACCTTGTCCCGTTTGACAATCTACTCGCGGACATAATTCCTTATGTCCGGGGCAGGGGTTTCTTTAGGCAAAATATTAACCATTTGAAATTTTATTATTAACGCACGCTAATAGACTAGCATCGTACTGAGGTCACATCCCCCCCCCCGTGCTGATATTCCATTCGAGCGGTGTCGACTGGACACGTCGAGGCAATTCATTATAAAAATCGGACGATCGTAGTGAACGTTTTTTTTTTTCTGTTAAATTTGCTGCGTCGCGAACGGAGGTGAACTTTGTCCCACTGTCGTCGGACGTGCCACGTGTTGGTTCTTGACTGTAATCAACGGATTTAGTTCTTTTTTTTGTGAAGCTAGTTGAATGTGAATAGACTGACCTAGTGCCATGAAGAGGGAAATTGCCACCGGGGACGCCGCAAGAGAATACCGCCTCCGGGAAATCATCGTGCCATCTGGTTCAGGACACCTACACACAGATACTCACACACCACTCACATGCACTACACCTTCAGCCTGACAGATCCAGGTCACCAATCTCTAGCTTAGTAAGATAGAACATTCCACCAGGCCATTCGGCCCGTTCTTAATTGTTCAACGAGCCTTCAGCTCTGGGCCCCTGTGGTATCGTACTTTGTCGGGACAGTTAGGGGCGTGTACAGCCCTTTAACACCTACATTAACGATCGAACATTACCTTATGTAAGCGCTTTAAACTCTCCCCATTTAAAAATTAAGGGATCTTAAGTAATTTCATTCACATAGTCTTATAGCTCCTGAAAAGCCCTACAAAATCGTTTCCGAAAAAGTATTTCTATCACCTAAAATGAAGGAGCTATGCTTAAAAAACGATCAATTTTTTTCTCAAAAAATTCGAATTAACCGCTTCGGAGCGTAGTAATCTACATAACCGGTATATTAGGCCGTTATACGTTATATGTTCCACTTTTTCGATTCTTATTGGAAGACGGAGAAGAAGAACTTCCACTTTTTTTACGTGGTAGAGCCATGCTGCAGCTACATTAGTAGTATAGTTGTAGCACGAATAGGTCGGTTCGACCGGGTAAGGACCACGCTTTCACCGAAAACCAGCGTAAAATAGCAGCTTAACGCTGCTGTGTTTCGTATGGTGAGTGTAGAGAACCGGAGACCCCTTTTAATGGCAAAGAGGCATTCTATCTTAGTCCTCACGGGTGACAACGCATCTGCATCTTGAGTCTTTATTGAGGATAGATGTAGATGTCTATGGGTCACAGTAACCACTTACCATCAGGTGGACTGTGTGCTCGTTTGTCACCCTATCCTATAAAAAAAAAAACATTAATAAAGGTTTTCAACATTTCGGCGACCACTGTCATATATAGCTGGCCTTGATTTACTTTTACATTATTTATTAAAGCATCGTACCTTATGGCATCATCATTATCCAAATTACCTGTCACAATTTTAATAAGAGACCCGAGAGGATTTATAATACCGCGTTTAGCCCTTTTCGATGGTAATAGTTGCTTTAATTTTTCAATTGTTATATTTTGAGTATAATCTGTTAGACTTTTCAAATTATTTATTTCAGAGTTAATTATTTTTTTACCAATATAAAGTGTCACATGTGTATTTAGGTTAGTGTATCGATTCTTATTAAATTCTAGATCCTCAGGTATTAAGTTTAAGTCATAGTATGCCGAAATTTCAGACAATCGGTTGAAGTAGAATGGTCTGAGTCCTGAAGACTTGCAGCAGGAATAGAATGAACCTGTGGAGGGTGTTTTATATCCTTAATTGGGGCCCTTGTATTTTGACCGTGATACTTAATTGGTACTGTATTTATAATTATATCTCCTATGACCTCTGCTTTTTCATAACGCGCTTTATCTTTACTTCTCCTAACATTCGTGCCCTTTATAAATATTGTGCCCCCTGTTTTAATAATAAATTCCTTCTCACCTCCTGTTTTTTCTCTAATACTTTGTTTCTTATCAATGGCCTTATTAGTTAAATATTCATATAAATATTGAGTTCGTCGTCTATGTTCTTGTTGTAACTTTTGTGTGTAATTTTTATTGAATTCAACTTCAAAATTACTTGAAGAGTCAGTATGACCGAACACTACTTCGAAAGGCGTAAGGCCTGTTGTTGAATGTATCGTTTGGTTGTACGACATGATGGCATAATATGTAATTACAGATGCAGCATCTGTAATTTTTCTTTCATATTTCGCTAAGCGATATATTTCTAATAGGGTGGAGTGGAAACTTTCAACATGTGCCATGGAATTTGGATTGTGAGAAGTGCCTATATGCAAATCTATTTTGTAATAACTAAGGGTTTCTTTCACAAGTACGTTATAAAATTCGGTTCCTGAATCTGCACTTACTCTATGTGGTACGCCATACATAGAGAAATATTTAATGAGAACTCTAATTATTTCTGGGGTTGACCTAGTGTTTATTTCTATTACTTTTCCAAGCTTACTAAAGGCATTGATGATTGTTAAATAGGATTTCCCTCTACGGTGAAAACGCTGATAAAGATTTCCTGAAATGGTTTGCTTTGGGTTAAAACCTCAAAAAAAACGCAAGCGCAAAACCTTTAAAAACTGAAGTTCAGGTTTTAAAGGTTTTGCGGTCATATTTCATGCGCTTACACACCTCACAAGAGTTTATGTGTGTGGCTACTGTTAGGTCCATATTGTTCCAAAAGTAAGTACGTTTTAAGTGTATTCGTGTCTCTTTTATACATCTATGACATGTTTTACCAATATGATATTTTTTTATTATTTCACGCTGTTCATTTTCATCCTCTACATAGACTACCCGTCGCTTGCATTAAAAGATCTTAACTGTACCCTTTTTAAATAACTCAATTACGGCCTCTGAAAATTGTTTTCGATGTGCGTCGTTCTCGAAGTAAATGAATTGTTTTATTTTAGGTTTGATGTACTCCTTTAGGAATTGATTTATTGTTTTTGTCTCGATAAATTTTTAACGGCTATTTCGTGTCTATGCCACGTAAAAATAAATATTTGATGAGGCTTAGTATCTATGGCTTCCTCTAGAATTGAAGTATCATCGATATCTATTTCATGTGCTAAGTGTATTTTAAAGGTGTGTGAGTTATCAAATGTTTCTTGTGCTGAAACGGTACTACTTGTCGGTGATGGTATAGAATATGGTGATTTATTGCCCTTAGCGGACGGGATAGATAAGGTCCTCTCCGTATCCGGTGACATTTCCATCGGAATTGTGTCCTTATTTTATAATCTTTGAATTTCTTCGATTAAGCTGTCCATGTGTCCTTACCGTTGTTCATCCTTATCCACGTTAACCTTCATTAATTTTTGGTCTTCTCCCAGGGCGTTTACCTTAACATGGCATAAGGCGTCGGCAACGAAATTTTGTTTCCCATTTTTATAAACGATGTCATAATCGAACTCAGCAAGCCGCAACTTCCATCTCGTGAGTTTACTGTTGGGTTCTTTGATAGAATTTAACCACGCCAAAGGTCTATGATCCGTGAAGATGGTAAATTTTCCGCCATATAGGTAAGGTCTAAATATTTTTACGGACCATACTATTGCCAACAGTTCCTTCTCGATAGTACTGTATCTGGTCTCTGCATCATTTAAAGTGCTACTAGCGTAAGCTATTGGTTTGTCGGTTCCGATGGCGCCTTGAGATAATAGGACTCCTAGAGCATAATGTAAGGCATCAGTGGTGAGTACGAATGGTTTCGAAAAATCCGGGAATTGGAGAATGTGTTTACCAAAAGTTCTTTGCATCTCTCGAAAGCGGTTACATATTTTTCTATAATTTCAATCTTATTCCTTTTCTTGAGACAAATGGTGAGTGGTTGGGTAACTTTAGCGAAATCTTTAATAAATTTGCGATAATATCCTACAAGACCCAAAAATATTTTGATTTCGGTGGCGGTTCTTGGTATCGGAAATTCTACTACGGCTTGGATTTTGTCATAATTTGTTTGAGTCCGTTTTTGTTATTGTATGGCCTAAATAGATGACTTATTTTCTAAGAAATTCACATATATATATATAATATTTTTTTTTATTATTAATTATTTATATTTAAATATAATGGTAACTTTGAGATTTGTTTCCCGTAGTCGATGGAATACCATTTTCAACTTTTCTATGTGCACCTGTAGACTTGAAGAGTTTACAATTATATCCTCGAGATATACTAAACAATGCAACCCTTGCAACCCTCTCTAGACGTTATCCATAGCACGCTGAAATGTTGCGAGGGCTGTCTTTAATCCGAACGGGAGGTGTGCAAATTCGCAATGGCCTGACTGGGTTGTAAATGCGGTTTTGGGTCTATCAATTTCCTCAACTTCTATTTGGTAATACCCGCTTGCCAGGTCTAACGTTGTAACATAAATAGATTTCCCTAATTTATCAAACAGGTCTGAGATTTTCGGCAATGGGTACTTATCATCTATAGTGATCTCGTTCAGACGCCTATAATCGACTACCATACGATATTTTCTTTCACCTGAAGCATCGAGTTTATTTGGAAACCAGATGGACATGTGCGCTACAATGCGAGTAAGATACTTTAATGATGTTATTTTGGAGGAGCTTTTCGACTTGTTTCTGTATTTCTTCATTTATTGCAGGTGGATGTCTGTTTGGAGTAATGTATGTAGGGTCTTCATTTTTAGTACGGATTTTGTGTTTTACACTGTTGGTGAATGAGAGCGGAACATCATCGCAATAGAATATGTCCCGATATGACTATCAAAAAACTGTGCTATGACTAGCACAGTTTTTTGATACATTCACGCTCTTCCTCATTTTTATGATCCAGACGTAATTTCGACAAGTTTTGTTTTAACAGTTCATCTATCTTGTAATTATCTCTCATGAAGTTCGCTCTGCATTCTGCAGCTATATACTTGATCGCTTTTAGGGATTTAGAGAACGTCATGGTAACCCTATCGTCGGACGCATTTCGTATCACCGTGTATGCAACCGAATTAACGTATTTTACTAGCGCTTGGTATCCTAACATCTTGACTAAAATCGACATAATCTATTATCGCATTTCCATTTTGCACAACCGTTGGGACCTTGACTCGCGTTTCCATTCTTGGTTCCAATCTAAATTCATACGGGGGTTATATATAATAGGTATATTTGTGTCACGTGTGTGCAATACTTGGTTTTTCATATCTATTGAAGCGTCAAGCTGTTTTAAAAGATCAGGTATATTCATAGTAAAAACAATACTTAGTTACATAAACTATAAACAATTGGCAACAGGATTATTCTTTGACCTCTCAAAGGCCTTTGATTTTGTTTCACATGATATATTATTGCAAAAATTAGAGACAGTTGGGATCAGAGGACTAGTACTTCAGTTGTTATCGTCATATTTAAATGGTAGACAACAATGTGTTATCATTGATAAAATAGATAAAAACAATAACTTGACATCTTATTCATCTAGATATAAATATAATAATTTCGGTATTCCGCAAGGAAGTATATTAGGACCGATTCTTTTCCTATTAAATATTAATGACATTGTTGACATCACGAATCATAAATGTATTCTATATGCTGATGACATTTCAATTATTGTGACATGTATTAAAAATAATAATACAATTAGAAATCATGAAGATGATATTAATAATACAATTGACACATTAATAGAATGGCTTGACATAAATAATTTAAAAATTAATCTAGAGAAATCCCATTACATACAATTTAATAAATCTATCAATTCCAATCATAATATGAAATTTAATATACCAAAACTAAAAGAAGCTACATGTACAAAATTTCTGGGAATAACGTTAGATGAATATATTAACTGGAAAGAACAAACTGATAACGTATGCAGTAGAATTAATAAGTTTTTATATGTCCTTAAACACGTAAAAACATTACAAATATTAAAACAGCAATTGCAACGTATCACGCATACGTAGAGTCTATTTTACGCTATGGACTTATAATATGAGGTAATGGTACTTGTTGAAGCGCCTGTCAAATTATATTAGCAGTTCTCATGCCAATATTAGTCCGTAAGCTGTGTAGGTATGTTTAAAAAAATGTTGTACCTGTCGTCGTTGTAAAATTTAGAGATCAAGTAAAGGTCGATTGAGCAAATTACTGCATTTTACTATTAAAAAGAGATCAAATTCCTATTCATGGTCCTAAATCGAAGCCGGATTTGAAAAAACGTAATTGGACAAGATAGTATTTAGTGGAATACGCTTGGGAAGTCTTAAATATTCGTTGTGGAAATACCACCGAGGGAGTGAAGATATTTAACCAAGAAATCTGGAGTCTTAGCCCCTTAGATATTGGACTATTATTTAATTTATTTAACCCAGCACTCATTATCAGGTAGTATTTTGTGTAAATCGACTGCTAATTTATCAGGTTAGTACCAAATTACCTATAAAATAATTACGTATAACTTAAAGTATTTAATCGGCTAAAATTCATTTAATATTGTTTTATATAGTTTCTAATAACCGTCAAATCATGATTAAATCAAATTATAAAGCTTAGTTAAATTATATTGACGATATTATAATTTTTTTTTTTCTCTTTATTGGTTTAAACTGTTTTTTAAAAAATAAGTCAAGAGAGTGTATAATTGAAAAAATTGCATAATATTATTTATTACATACTAAGGCATACCTGTGAAGCTGTTTGATGGTCTGAATTGTATTTGTTACCCTTAATTGTTGTTAATTATAAAGTTAAATATCAAGGTAGTACATGTACCATTTTGTTTAATTATTTAAGAGTTTGAAAAATAAGTAAGGGAATTAGTTTTCATTTCTTTACAACTGTAAGCAAAATTGTATAAAACTACTTATGAATTATATTTTATAAAATATAAACTTCTTGTTTGTATAAATTTCAGGCATTTGCACTAGTCTCCCAATACCAGCCAGCATGCCAGAAGATAAGGAGCAAATTAGGAAACGAGCTAGTTACAAGGGACAAATAACAGCTTTTTCAAATTATTTAAATTCACTGAAGGTATCTTCATTGGCTGCTACTGAGGTAAATGAGTTGCAATTACGTATTAGTAGGATTGAGTCAATGTATGAACGATATGATGAGGTACAATTATCCATCGAGTGTAATACTGATAATATAGACGCCCAGATATCAGAACGAACTGATTTTGAATCCCTGTATTTTAAATCGCTTTCTCTTGCAAAAAGGATCTTAGCAGATTGCATTAAGTCAGATGACGTAAGCAGTGACGGTGGCTCTCATTCCGGCAATCATAAATTTGTTAAACTGCCCACTGTTCAACTACCTAAATTTAATGGTTCTTATGATAATTGGTTAGAGTTTCATGACACGTTCATGAGCCTCATACATTCAAATGACGAGATAGATGACATAAATAAGTTTCACTATCTGAGAGCGTCGTTGGAAGGGCCCGCTGCTGTGGTAATACAGTCAATCGAATTCTCGGCAGCTAATTACACCGTCGCATGGACTATATTATGTGATAGATATGATAATAAAAGACTACTAATTCAAAATCACGTGACAGCCTTATTTAATATAGCACCAATTAATAAAGAATTGTCTGTCAACTTAAAACGTCTTATTGACCAAATAAATAAAAATTTACGTGCCCTAGAATCTCTCGGTGAGCCAACTAAACAATGGGACACACTTCTCATTCATATTATTACTCAAAAATTAGATGCTAAGACATATCGTGAATGGGAAGAGTCTAAAGGTCGTTTGGAGAAAGATACACCTATTACGTTCGATATATTTTTGATGTTTTTAAAAAATCGAGCCGATTTAATCGAAACACTAGAAATGTCTAATTCTGGTGCTACAAACCGTTTAAATTCTTCTATAAAATATGCTCCAAAAGTTATGGCAATGGTTTCAGTGCGGGATACCGGTAATAAAAACGGTTCGGCCTTTTCCGCCAAACTGTGTCCTAAATGTAAGGGTGACCATAAGTTAAGCAGTTGTCCTCAGTTTCTTGAATTAAGTAACGATGTGCGTCTACAGTTACTGCCAGAGTATAAAGTATGTTTCAATTGTCTTAATTCAGGACATTATGCAAATCACTGCAAAAAGCCAGGATGCAAAATATGCCACCGAAAGCATAACACTCTCGTGCACGTCGCAGATTACCAGTCAAAACCAATTACAGATATTAATACATCTAACACGAGTAGTGGTAATAATAAGCCCGTTATGCAAGGTCATTTCGAACAAACAAACAGTTCGACAGGCTCACAGTTGTCATCCAATTCTAACGCACATCTGTCATTATCCGCAAAGGTAGGCACTGCATCGTGTAGTGAACAAGGCGACGTATTGTTATCGACGGCATTAATTAAAGTTATAGGTAAGAATGGTTGTCCATATATTGCTCGTGCTATTCTTGATAGTGGCAGTAACGCTTGTTTAATAACTGAAGAGTTATATCAAAGGCTAGGTTTGCCCGCTCAAAATGTAAATCAGTCGGTAGTCGGTATTAATAATGCTTCGGCACACATCAAGAAGATTTGTAAGGTATCGATAAAATCATTGAATGATAACTTCTCTAGTAATCTTCATTGTTTTGTCCTACCATCAATAACCCAAAATGTACCTACTAGATATGTTAATTTGTCAAACTTAAAAATTCCATCTAATATTTCTCTGGCAGATCCTAATTTTCACTCACCTGCTCCCGTTGACATGCTTATAGGTGCTGATGTCTTTTGGGACTTAATAGGAACGCAGAGATTAAAATTAGGGGACGG